TTTACTCACCCCCCCCCCCCCCACTTGTCCCTATCTTAACTTCTTTACCAAGTAAGTCTTTTCATCGATGCAGAGAATATTGGCAGAAAATGTGGAATGGGAACGTGAAATTGAGTAAGTCGAAGAAAGAAACGAAGAATGACAATTCGAATTAGGGGAGAGAAATTAACGGGAAAAAATTGCTCCACTTAACTCCCTTTGACACAATTACAGCGTAAGTGTGTGAAGGAAGATCGGAGGAGACAGAATAATGCTCCCGCGCCATGTAATCTTTGTCTGTCCCCATTAGTCTTTCTTTGCTGCAGGCGACAAATGAAACTTGCGTCCTGCAGGGGAAGTGTTAGTGGGCCTGTCATCACCACGGTACGGAGCGCCCTCATGTTGCAAGTATTGGAAACGGCCTCTTGATATTTTCTGTAGCATTGGATGAAGGCATTGAATAAGCATTTACAGACAGACGAAGAAAGTGGTCCTTTAGCTTGAGGGTTGGACGGGAGCTGACACCTCGTCACATGCTACGTAACGGAACATGGGTCCACCAAGGGGCACTTTGAACGCTCACGAAATTTCGGGCTCCATATATGGCGGGGAATCTCTTCGTCATCTGCATGACAACAAGTTTCTCAAAATTAATGGTGATATATATTATTCTTTGCTTAAAAAATAAAGTTTCTTTGAGTAATGAGATTAATTTTATGTAGACAACTGACCTGCGCAGTGTTTGGAATGCCAGAAAAGTGTTAGGACTTCAATGTAATACTGGAATCGTGGGTTCGAATCACATTTGATACATGGATGTACACCCGCCTCTTTTCTCTGTCTTACTGTTATGTGTACGTAATTAGCCGATTCCCCATGTAAGGGGTCCTATCAGTTGTGTAAAATTATTCATATCTTGTGTCTTCAAATTCCCACTGCGGCGTGTATGAAGACGACACTCTTCTTGCACGTTTCGCCGTGTAGTCTGGTAGTTTACCGACGTTTCAGGGTAGTAAGCTCTTTGGAACGTTGGTAAACTTCTGTCAGGCTACATGGTACATTATCACAGAAGACGATAATGTTTTGATTTATACTTCAAGAAGTCAGTTCTAAATCTGGACAACACATTGGGCCGAGTTCATTAGATTCGAAGAAGAAGAGTCTATTTCAAAAGCAATATTTAACAGTGAGGTTAAGGTACACCGGACTTGTATTCGTGAAAAAGCAGTAGTAGAGGAACATCTGTAATTCGTATTCAGTTCCGTATGAAGCAACATATTATATCTACGCGAGTTTCCGTCTCTAGGGATATATGTGCAGAGGTTGGCAAGCTGCGATAGTGACATTTGGGGATAACCCTAACCTTTCTTACTGTGAACACTGTTTGAACTGCATCATCAAAGGAACTCTCACTGTGAAGGCCAGTGTCTGATCAATGGCACTGGTGCTATCAGCAGACAGGAAAGTCTGACGCTACATATTTTGCATTCCACAGGGATACATGACGACGTGAATACACATTTGCTTCGAGTTTCGGATAAATATACTGATTCCTTCTTCAGGACTGACTAACAACTTCAGTAAATTCAAGGCTTAATTTACGTCGGCTCTGAAGACGGGGGCAATCTCTTCCTCTGAAACGTTGGCATTTGCATTCTAGGCCTTAAAATATAGCACTACATCTTTTCCACACGTGCTTTCTAGGTTATAACTCGCAAACTCCTAGAGCTACATACTAAGAAACTGGCCGTTTTAAGAGGTCCATTAACTAATGAAGGCTTTTGTGAATCACTTTTTTACACCTAAACAATTTATTAAGACATCTCAAGAAATGTTGACACAAGAAGAACGTTTTTATTCGAGAAAGACAATTACTTTGTCTACTAAAATTATCGCTTGCGTAAAATAACTGTACCCGAGGACCCAATATAACTGAAGCCATAATTGAAACAAAGGGAGCTAATTTTTTGCCTTCTCTCATGTCATAAACGTATTTGACAGTGACGTGTACAATTGTCACATTGATATATTTGGAGAGGAGGTGTTTTATTTGGATGTGTTGAGACTCATTTATCAAAGGATTGCCTCGCTTTTGTCACGTCATGTATTTATGGTTCAGTGTGGACGGTGAGTAAAGCTGGAAAGGGTTGACATAAAAATTTATTTTCGCACTGACGCATCTTCCTTGTAATAAAAGGCGTTGATCAAAACCCGCCTGATGTATTTCCAGGAATATACCTTAGTTATCCTGTCACTTTCTGTTTAAGTTATAAACGTCTGTGTGATTTATATTTCAGTATTAAGTGATCTTACCGTGATGTTGTGTAGAACACATTCTCAGTGGGCCTTTTAGCTGTCGTACGTAGAGACTGCATAAGATAGATAATGCTGGATCCTGGCTTCGCTTTATTGGTGATATTCTTTGTGCAGACTACCCATTGACACGAACAGACGCCAATCTGTAAAATGGCTAATGTAAGTTGTATGTTTTTATTGTACGTTTAAAGCTGTTCTACCTGTGCAATTATGTTTGATATTGTTAACTGCTGTTAGAATCTTGAGTCTTCTGAGTTGTAGCGCCGTGTTTTATGTTTCAGAGTTAGAAACAAAACCAATGTTTCATTTTGAACTGTCTCAGTTTATGAAACTTGAAAACACCAGAATATTTTCTCATATTTATTACAATTACAAAAATATGTATAAACATGTGATGCGAGATATTAACCTTGTGTGTATATATATATTTTTGTGACGTCGTACATGATTATGCTTCTGATGATTAAACCTTGAAGTACCAGTGACCTACCACGTCTCTTCTCACGCACTCCGCCAACTTCCTGATACGCCCTTCTGTGCGCACTGCAGTATTACAAGCTGTGACCCCAATAAAGGTCTCGTCATTGCTATTACGGAAAGCGATAAGAGCTTTTTACGTAGATTCAGCAACAGCTTTGAAATAGCAAAGTTAAAGATTTACTCCAGCTTCCACTTCAGAGTTCTCAAAGCAAAGAGGAATAAGTAGGAAAGAAGATTTGCAAAAAAGTCGAATTTCTGTCTACAAGAAGTTTTCTCTACTTTCTAGTATGAATGAAATTTTTGATACAGTCTGATATAATGGAATAGACGGTGTATAATCTACGGTAGAACATGTGAGTTTTATAAATGCAATGTTTACAACAGTTTTATATATTTGCTTATGTCTTCTCTGGCATCAGCAAATAAAAACTTCATTGAAAATAATAAATTTAATTTGATACTTGATTCTGTAGAAAATAAATGTGCGTGGCATCATGACAATCTGAATCGATTTTCGAGTTACTTGGGATTTGAGGTTCTCTAGAGCAGTGGTTTCAACCTGGGGTACGCGTACCCCCGGGGGTACGTGAAATTTTAAAAAAAAATATTATTTTATGATAAACACTGAAAAATCAGTAATGGAATTTATTTAATTTATTTTAGATGTAGATTATATACTATGTATAACTTGAATTATACACCAACAACTTTGGGGGCACAGAATTGAAGAGAAATTATATCTGGGGGTACGCGAACAAAAAAGTTTGAATACCACTGATCTAGAGAATACGCCATTTTCCAATCTCCAGCAAGTTGACTAATTTTGTTTGTTGAAGACGACTGCCTTCTGGGATGTTGTGACGTAGAAATTGATTCATCTCATTAACACTGTGCTGCTAGTCTAGTAACCTTGTTCTGTGGCGAACAATGGTATTTCTTTTGTAAGATTTGTACCTCGGTTCTTGTTTGCTTGCATAACTAATTAGTGTGATATAAGCTAAGAGAATGCACTTTAGGAAATCAGCGTAGTAGTAGGTTAGATTAAATATACGTGCGGATGTGGAGCTCTGATTTCTTCATTAGTATACACTGTATTTCCATTATACTTATTTCTGTAATCCGATTCAGAGAACACTGAGCGCCTGCAAATACACGTTTAGACTATTAGCTACACAGTCATGTCGGAGAAGTTGCTGGACACTCAAGGCGACAGAACGTGTACCGACAACCCGACAAAATCTGCTGTCTTCTGGAATGTTGCGACATATAATCTTGCAGAAATTGACCGAAGTTTCAGAGGTGTTAATGGGTGAGTCCTGTTCATCGCAATTATGATGGAGGCAGTAAGCACCTCTGAAATGTTGGTAATTTTCTACGATACCACAAGGTGCAATATCTCAGAAGACAGCCATCTTCTATATTCTGCTGTCCTTCACATCTGAGGCTGCCTGCTCCTTCTGAAACTTACGGACGTATCGTAGAGTCAGTTGATGTTACATTTAGATGTGATATAATTGTTTATATTTAATAATAACTGTAGAGTTTAATAATTTACCTGGTTCTACATATGAAGCAATAATACTGACTAAATATTACAAATAAAAACATTTGCCGTACGTGCGTGTAAAATCTTAGTTTGAAATTTGAAAGTTCATTGAAAAATTCCCAATATTTTTTGTTTGTTTGTGTTCATGTAACGACGAATACTTAATTGATAAACGTGGTCCAAAATGGAGTGACTGTGTCGCTTAGATGAAGGCAATTTGTCGGTTATTTATTTAGCTCTGCGACAGCCTTGTCGCACTTGAAAGCAGCAAACTTATGCAGATCCTTTTTAACAATACTAAATTTACCATTACGACTTTCGGAAGCTGATATGTCTATTGTTGACGACTCTAGCGACGTAAGACTATGGAAACATCACACTGAATACTCTGTTTGTTTTTCCTGCATATCAGTAACGGTTTTAGTAAGAAGTAGCGTATAGTAAGTGATGGATTCTGCATGTTTATGTCGTGAACGTTTTGGAGGTAGATATGATGAAGTGTTTCTTATAGACTTGACACATTTCGGTTTAGTTTAACATAAATTGATAATTGTAGTTGGGCAATACTAACTAAAATAACAGCTTTGATGCAGACTGCACCACCAGTCTCATCAAATACGTATAGGATATGTAATATTCTGAAGGATGGGCGTGGCTTCCCATGTACATCGTCTGCATTTTATCAAATTAAAATAAAGAACGTAATGATTTGAGTTACGAGCACACAGTCGTGCCCCTTTTTTTAATTATTTCTGTTGTATTATGTTTGTGAATGTTCTGGTACCGATGTAATTTCAGTTATTGTTTTATGTAAACAAAAACTTATTGATTCTTTCTTCTGTTTGTATGAATACGCCTACTTTATAATCCGTGCTTTGAGTGGAATTAACTGTTTACTGGTGACAGTTTTAACACAGCGGACGAATTTATACTATCTAACGAATTTATCCTATCGATGAGGTGTATTTTGTTAGTTCAGTGTTTAATACATGTATCTGAATGACTAAATAGCTACAATAATATAAAACTCATTATAAAACACTTGGTCAACATTTTACGTTTTAAGAGCCTGCATTGAACGACGTTGGTGCTAATGTAGCCTACTTTTTAGATTCGCACCATCGCCATGTTGACATTATTTAAAACAGACTAGTGGTGGCATAGCATGGCTTCTAGTATTCTCTTCATAGAGACTATAGAAATGTATGATATTTATTATTTTAAGATTATGACGGACGAAGGGCTATGTCTCTTGCCCCATAACCGCGATTATTTGAAAGGAATGAAGTTGTATTACTTTATTCCATAATCAGACGATGTTAAAATATATGTTCGAAATGTTTTAATAGGAGTCAGTGCTCTTGCAGAAGCTCTTAGTGATAAAGAAGTTTATTCGAGACTTAATTTTTGGAACTGCGTGAATTTTAGTCCGTGAATGCAGCACAGAACTTAGAGCGAATAAAGGTTTAAAGCGGATGAAGTTTCAGAAATTCTTTGCTTCCCTGGGAGAAGACTTAAACGCGTTTTTTTTCGAAACGTCTACAGTTTTCAGTCCAACGCAGCAACGTTCTTATCTTCCTATAGGTCTTTTAAGCTTTGCACGTAGCCCCCGTCTAAGCACGAACGTTCACAACATCAAATCTGAAAAGTACATAAAAGTCCAGTTCAGATTTTGCCCTCCATTTACTGAAGTCTGCCAGATGAACCGAAGAAATTCTCCAGAGGTTAATCTAAACGTGTACATTACTTACAATATTTTTCTGCCGTTTTATATTTTAAATTAGATTCAGTAAAATGAATCTTGTATTCTCATGCTGACAAGCTGTATCTGGATACAAGATTCAATGAAAACAGCTGTATTGTAAGACTGTGTTTATAAGCTCGTAACTTTATATTCCTTCTACCCCTGATATAACACTGGCTTTATTGAAAGTCTTTGTTTTGTTTCTTCAGCATCTCGTTTCTCCGCACACGTTTACCTTTCTTATTTTAGTCTTCTTTTATGTCCCAGTGAAGTGTAAACCGACGTAATCTTGCATTCCTCTGTAGCACCGAAGACGAATCTGTCACGTTCTGACTCGGATGACATTCCTTGTTTCCGACGTATGCACATTTTATATTTGCGAAAAAGTATATTCTGAACTTGAGACAGTTAAAGAAACCCGTATCAGCAGAGAATTCACCTAATTCAGAGTTATATTATCAGTATTTCTGTTAATGTTTAACCATAATAATTTATTTGCTGTAATAATTACTTTATTGTAAGTTATTTATTTACTGGGTTAATTAATTTATTGATGTTAGTTCATAAGCTTCCTACAAGAAACTGTTACATCTGAGCTACGTTTCAGGATTGCCCCCGTCAAACGTCTGCAAACTTCTACCGCGTTACACGTAGCAAAACCCCAGATTCCCAGCAGTGAGAACCTGAAACGTTACGAAATAGAGATCAGTCCGTCTTGTCTTCTTATTCTTCCTCGTGGGAAGTTCAAATCGTCCGCTAATTTTTGGACATTTTGTAATTTTAGTTAAATTTTTTTATCTTCCAGTCCTTACTAGATAATGCAATTATAATTAATGCATTTTACACTTGTTTATTAACCGGAGAACACGAGAGATTTTGGCAACTAAATTATGTTATAGACCTACTCTGCCGTTAATAAATTTTGATTATAAAAGTTTCTTTTGGGTGATAATAGTTTGTCTTTTAAATACTGTTTTAAGCTTTAAGTTTCGTATAATATAGAGGTCTGTTCAACCCTTTGTATCCCAGTGGTAAATATATTCCCCACCTGATTCAATAATTATTAACTCTGAATTGTGTGTTTACGCATATCGTGTGATTCTCGCTGTAAACAGAGATTTTTACTTAAACTTTTTCTTTGCAATGGTGAAGTGTTTTCTTTGCGGTACGGTGAGGTTATGTTTGCTGTAATATACAATGTAGAGAAATGTTTAGGACACAGCTGTATTTATAAATCCACTTTCTGCCAATAGATGATGACCTCTTGAGGTCGAAACGCGTTTGGAACTAGTGTCATTTATAGTGTTAACAGTTTGTTAGTTTGCTTATTTTTATATTGTGCCATGTAAGGTCACAATATCGGCAGTTGATGCAGCGTCGCAGGTAAATAGCGTTCTCTATTCTAAACCCAAGACAGTGGCTTCAGATATCCCCTCTATACATACTGGATATTAAATGTGCACTTGTGTCATTGTGCTGACGAGTAAATGAAGTGCCTGACTGTGTTTTCAAATCCATTATTCTTGTTGATTGACGACCGTAATGGTGTGAAGGGGACATAGACAGTAAAAGCTTTCCGAATTACACTTCTCCTTTCCTTCTTGTCATGCAGCCCCAGTCTTGTTAGTGATCCGCCCTGCTTATGTTAGCAACACTTCTAACCGGTCTGGTTTCCCAAAAATTGCGTGACTGGATCAGAATGTAGGGGAACTGTATCTAGATTTTACGTCGGCGCTCTCACTTAGCAAAAGGTGTTGTATGTATATATGCAGATGGGGCGGGCGAAGAACTGCTGGCTCCCTGATGACAGGAATCAACTTTCAGTTAGAAGTTCAATGTTGAAGGGCTCCTTTGTATGGCTTCTGCTACTTTCAGGCATCCGTACGTCTCGCAGACTACGAGAGTTTTTCGAGAGGGAGGGTACCGCCCCCAGACCTGGGCCTGTTAGGCACCCTGGTCAGGGCCTCCCTGAATTTCGTAGTGAAACGTTTTCAATCAATCTGTTACTCTTCGGGCCACACTGTGTTACAAGTACTGCTCGTCCCTACAGTGTATCGACGTTCAATCTACCGTACCAACGTCGAGGTCCAAAACTTTGTGTCGAAAGTTCACATATTTGCGAACGATGGTAAGTAATTAAAATTTCACTCACGAGGAAATTAAAACAGGTTTAATATGGATAATACGTATTACAATGTGATTAAGAGCATTCACCTTTTCATCTGTTGTCTAATACACAAACGTGAAAATATATAAAACTGACGTTGTACCTGTTGTTTTCTCTGGGTATGAAATTTGGTCTTTCACGTTAACGGAAGAATACAGATTGAACAGGATATGTAGGAGAAAATTCTGATCTATGAGGGATAAAGTGACGGGAGGTTGGACAAAATTGCTTAATGGGGAACTCCATCATTTGTAGGCCTACTCTTCGTAAAACATTATTGGGATCTAATCCAAGATGAAATGGGTGGTTCATGTAGCGCGCATAGTGGAGACAAAAATTACGCACAAAATTTGGTTGGAAATTCTGGACAGACAAGGCCACATCCAAGACCTGGGAGTAAATTAGGAGGATAATATTAGAATATATTTTAAATAAATGGGGTTTCTTTTTGCCACCGAGAATTTTAAGGAGATAGTGAATTAAAAAAAGTAATTCCTTCAAACCCTTTGTACACATGTTGTAAACCATACCGACAAAGTTCCTAACAAACACCAGTTTCTGTTCCACACGATGAATGCGAGTGAGGAGGATTAATTTGTTTTTAATTTATTGCACAGTTTGAGACATCGATCGTATGCTGCAGTCTGTATCAGGCGATCCGCCTGGCGAGTTAGTCACTTGGTGTGAGCCTATTATCTATCACATGTCTAATGCTACTGTAATAACAGAGGGCGTGGAGTAGGTTAGAACATAATACCCCCTGTTTCCATGTACATTAATGATGAACTCGTGTATGTATCAGTCAGTACACTTGCAGTGAATTCACCGTCATTCAGAGACCTCAGAACTCTGCGTTTTGTCTCTGAGAACAAGATCCAGAAGGTGTATTTTCTGGACGGTCAGTGAATCCCGATCATGCACGTTGGAAACTTCCATACGCAGACAGACAGACATACTTGAACGAACCCACACGGTGTTCTTCGCTCACGCTAGAGTGTCGTACAATATGTAATTTATCTTCATACTCTCGGCGCCTTATTACGAGTTAAGAGGCAGGATTTAAGAATGAAATACAACGGAATGGAAATTTTGACCTTTCACATTGCAATATTGAATTTTTAGAGATGAAATTAAAACACGACAAGTTCTATCTGTGTGGTAGAATTTTTTACGTTTATTGTCCTTTTGCTTTTAACGTGGATAGAAATTTTGCGTGTTTCTATCACTCCCACGTAAACCTACTTCAGTACTGGGACTTTTGAAAATGATAAATAGTTCTATCTCTAATTCTATGAAACAGAGCCCTCCTTGGTAAAATAATGGTCGTTTGCCAAGAAATTTCAGCCTTTTGTGGAAATAGATTGTTCATTGCCGTGCTCTGAAGAGTCACGCTCTAATATTCTGTTTCTATAAGATCCAGTTTCTGTCCCGGATTTAAATAGTTTCTTTCCTTTAGGATTCCACACTGAATTTCCATATTCGGTTCTCTTCTGCCCCACGCGTGCTACATGCTCGTTTGCATTCCCCTCCTTGTTTTGTTTTCTCTTATAATATTCGGCGACGATCACAAATTAATATTTCCCTCAGCATCATAGTTATTACTTCTGGTATTTCGTTCCTCTCAGGTAAAAATATCGCCAAAACCCTGTTCTGAAACACCCACAATATATGTTCTTCCCTCACATTGGGAGGCACAACATAATACTTCAATAAATATTACATTATTTCCGAGATAATGATTACGGAACACGAATTAATTAATACAAAAATGATTTTAATGTAATTTAATCTGTGATCGAAGTTTCGAAGCAAGAATAATATGGTTAGAGAAAGGATTTCTTTTATAACCACAATTTATAGCTATGCAGTTAGTCCATTGTTTTCATGAACCTCTTTCTACAAAATCGTACTAAAGCATAGTACTTTACAGATTGATATCAGCAGATTCAATGCCGCAGATGAGCGGAAACTCTGCAGGAGACGTTTTTAATATCAAACCTACATATCCACTGCATCACACACCAGCGATCACAAGAGTAATAAGATACACAAAGCGTTGTTATGGAAGCACGCGAGAAGTGATTTATGATACGATCCAAGTGTTTTAAGTAATTCAGTTACGGTGTTCTGAGGATTCTGTTTTATTTAAGGGCACATAACAGATACAGTGGTGTGATAGCCGAAAGAGAGTTACTTTTATTAGTGCCGGTAATACGAATCTCTGTTATGCAGGTTTATACGAATCCCGGATCATATGTTTCTGTTCGTGTTTTCCATTTCGATAACAATTTTACTCCAACTTAGATCAACTCGTATACAGTTATCTCACGTAGCAAGATAAAAGGGAAAGTAAAATCCTCTTTTCACTGGCACATTACCCCGACAAGTTGTAAATCGATACACGCTTTAAAATTCGGCTAGAAATATTATTTGACGTGTAACTGATGTTTGTGTGTGAGAAGTGTGAAAGGAAAAAGTTTGAAAGACCTGAAGCTCAGAAAATTCCATTCCTGACTCCACTTTAAGGTCTGTTTTTAAAAGGGCGTGTATGCTTTAAACCCTAGAATAATATACGTCTGCAAAACTTCGGCTTTCGGGGGTAAGACGCGTCGTTTCAGCAAACATGGCAGTAGCCATCTTCAGGGCGAATATATTGATTGAGTGTTTTCCAAAAATGCAGTATGCGGTCAGTGTGATAGCACGGATCTTATTGGCGGAGGGATAAATTGATCTGCTGCCCGTCCGTCTGTACGCATGTAACAACTCCAGAACGGTTGAAAATATGCTAATGAAATTTGATATTGAGAGGTTATACAAAAGTTTTTCAATTTTTCCAGTTTTGATCAGAATTACACAGCAATAACGGGCACTTCACACGAAGACTTTCTTGCGTTTCTGAACCCCAATGTAAGACGATGGGGTATCCGTCGGCCAGCCACAAAAGTCAAGGATAAAATTCTGGTAAACGCTCCGTAATTGTTACGTTATAAGTAGGCCTCAGTTTCCATACTTGTCATTTCGTTCTATAACAGTAGTTTCATGTTTATCTCAATACCATCAGTGCGTTACTTCGTGGCCCAGAATCCAGTCGCAAGAATCCATGATTTTACGTCCAGCAGAGTTGTGTTGCGGGTGGCAGTAACGCCCCTGAGATGGCGAAACTCTCGTCGCCTTCGTTTGTTTACACGTTGTAACTGCTGTGATTCCATTGAGGAAGGACAGTTGTGCAAATATTTACCATTCTCTTCACTTCAACAACGTTTCTTTGTTTCTGTGTAACGAAAGGCCCTGTCACTCAAATTCTGACGTTTACATTTTTAACTTTCGGTCATAAATGTGGCATTTCTTTCTTCTTGCTTCAGAAAGTCGGAAAGGGAGAAATTAATAAAGCGTGTTCATCTGAGATGAACGTAGATGTGAGACAGGAGACGGCGAGTGTGAAGATCATACGGCACAACATCCAGGAAAACAACCAGATTTTTTCTTTATTTCTTGCTACAGAATTTATGATGATAAACTATAACGTTCTAAAAACATGTTATAATATTTTAATGTGAATGAATTTATTTCGTTGTTTGTACAGCACTTAATGATAACAGAAACAGGGCACAAAATCATTCGAGGAATATGAACATTCCTGTCTGCAGCCCGTAATTTGAACTGCCACACCCTGGACACGACGCAGACCTCTGCATCTAAGCTGCAATTTTACTTTTGACGCCATAGTTTTTGAAATAACCTGTTAATTTGATACGTCTTGAAGAAATTGAAACTAGGGAATGAAGTATGCGTAATGACTGGCAACTAGTTCAGTGTACAGGAGACTTATCTGGCTGTCTTCTTGTGTGCAGGTGGAAAAAGTGGAAGGGTCTTCTTCGGCTCACCACCACCTCCACCATTCCCCGGAAAGTTGGGGCGGGGGCGGCGGTCCTGCCTCCTCGTCATCTTCGTCCTCTCCGCTACCGCCGTCAGCTCTGCGACGCCATCGCCCCATGATGGTGGACAGCACGGGGATCGGACCTGGGCCGTCATCAGGGCCCCCTGGGCAGACGTCTTCATCCACTGCAGGAGATGACACCACGGCGAGCGGCGTTGCAGGCGGAACAATGTCGGAAGGGAGTGCCAGTGAGTCTTCGCCGCGGCAGTCCGGGGTCCAGTCCCTCGTAACCTCAAGGGAGGAAGACGGTGAGGAGGATGGACAAGGTGGGGAAGCCGAAGATGCGTCAGGAACTGGAAGCAAGAGGGACAGTATCGCCTCGTCCGACAAGAGCCCTGGACAAAGGTACTGTTTGGATTACCTCAGAGACTTTTAAGTTTAAAGCTACTGAACTTGAAGCACTCTCCACCCCCAACCTTTATTTTTAATTGCTAAATAGATTTTATAGTAGATGTATTATTGTTCTTGTGTGGAGTAATAAGATTATGTTTCTCGTACATTGAACGATATTATTACCCTATGTGTCTGTCAGATATATGCTTACACATAAACTTCAACTGATATTCAAAAGGGAATTCGCGCCACCGCGCAGAAAGATACCTGCTACTCTGTTTTGTAAGAAGCACGTGGCTAATTGCAATAGCATGTACGTCGTATTAATTAATGTATTCACCTTGCAGCAGACAGTTGGTGTTACAGATGCATGTAATCCCGACAGGAACTCATATAACCCTCTGGGGACCACAACTGAGACAGACTCATTCAGTGTGTTTTGTTCGCTAAGGAAGATTCTTTGGAAAAGTTTACCCTTAGGTCCACGTAAATAATGGTCTGCTACTTACATCAATACAGACAGCAATCGATCGTTTGCAGACTACTGCAGAAATCTTGAATGCTGTTTCCCATAATATAAAAGTAGAAAACTTGATAAGTCTGACACTGTTAAATCATGACTTCCGCCTATGCATTTTAAGGAAATTGGATTTTTTCAAACCTCTGGAGACTTCTGAAGTGTCATTCATCTTGAAGATTAAATAAATTCGTAATAGCAAGTGAATTTTTTCTAAACTATAAACATTAATGGAATCAACGCATGGATTTCTACAAACATATCTTTATATAAATTCGCATTTAGTTTGTAGAGTCAGGGGATTCTCAACTGTGAGAGTAAGAAAAGAAAAACTTACATGCTTGTCTTATAAAGAGGAACGACTAATTAGTACCGCCCAAGATTTCAGTATTCCTCTAAAACTGAGTGTTTCGTTTAATTAAGGAAATGGAATCTTACATTTTGTTTGTATCGAGAGGCCATGCTGATTCTAAGTTTAGAGAAAATTGTAGATGTATTTAACTGTCTGCAGACGAACTCTCAAATTATTAATTTATTCTAATCGTCTAGGTTAGGAAATTGTGAATAAAAACTAAAGTTTTAATAAAATTATGGTTAAAATTACTTATGGATTTATAAATTTACTGTCTTAAATCGTACTGCACTTTAACTAATTATCCACAGTAAAAAAGACAAATGCCTTTATGATTAAATCAAGAAAAAAATCTTAGTTTTTTTTATATTTCCCGTCGATATTGGATTTTGGTGTAATTGTAATGTGGCGCATGATACTTAGTACGAGCAAAGGTTTGTTGTGTCGAGTAGGCTGGTAGAAGTTTATCGATTTTTCAGAGTCCATTATTAGGGCTCATCGCCCTGATGATGGAGGCAGCAAGCACGTACCAGACTACTCGGTGTAACAACATAAAAGACAGTTATCTTCATACTCGCCGTCCTGAAAATTTGAAAGTTCTGATTCCGTTAATAATTTTCCCGAAAAGTGTTCCCTCAGCTTTACTCACATTGTTTCCGTAGAATCAATTTGTTTTTCAGTGTTGGTGTGTATATATAACTAATGCTGTTAATTTGTTTGGAATTTATGCCCGATTAATTAGATCCCGAATGAATGTAAATAGCTCGACATGCTTGTGGCCCCGCCTTTCCCATGTTCAGTTATTATGCATAGTGATTTTATTGAAGGTGTCTGTGATGAGACTTCAGTTCCTTTAGAATGACCGGCAAGTGGAAATTTTATATATTCGTTTTCGAATTAAAATTCTTTCTTTTACATCAGTAATGCTCTTGAAACTTAACACTGTTCCTGGTCCAGTTAACAATAAATGAAACTTGCAATACGCGGATTATTAAAAGACATAAAAGCAATAGTCCTATTATTTTAATTGTATAAATTATTTCTAGTTTTCTGGGCGATTACTTGAAAAGAAAAATACATTCCAATAATATAACGAATTCATAGCTTTCTTTATTAATGTGTCTTTGCCTTTGAAATCTCACAAAAGGCCACTTGTATGATGTTGAATTTGAGAAGTATTATTTGCGTTATGGAAGTCTGCATAGCGCTGTATTAGGCGCTAATTCTTCCATTCTGTGTGAATTTATTACGGTTTGTACTCGCCGAAGCATGAATCAGTTAACACAAAGACGTCGACTGTCTTTTGTACTGCAGAGCTATGCATTACATACCTCTTATTCTAACAGAAAAAGTTTCCTCTTTTTTTTTTTCCTGAAGAATCTTTATACAAGAAAACATTATGGTGAAAGAAAAGAGTGAGTTTCAGGTCACGTGACGAAATGCCAGTCATATTTTATTTCTAAATTATGTTATATTTTTGTTCGTATACTTCTAAATTTAAGTCCATTGCTTAGAAATTAAGGGAAATAAGGAATTTAAAAACTTATCAGCTTTATTACGAAAGCAACAAGGTAGACTTGATGTTCTCACGGAGACTAATATGTCGATGTTGTGTCTTCCGGGCTGTAACGCCGTGAGGGCTTATGGGTAGATACCAACGTCCGTATACAAACTGGGGTCCCTTGAAAATACCACGTTGTTTCCATAATCTATGCCTTGGGACTAGAGTGTGACGAAAGAAACTAAACAAATCTAGTTGGTAACTGTTAACATCATGGTTTAAGGTTGGCAGTCTGAAGTTAAATAGTTGTTCCACGACGCCGTACAGTCAAAGTACACCCGCTATATATATATATATGTCCCAGAAGTTATCCTAGAGTACCTACTAATGAAAATGTACTGTGATAGAAGAGTTAATTGCCTTCGTCGTGACCGTTGTATCGTTTCGTTTTAATCCTCTGTGAACTGCTAAATTCAAGACTTTACACTTTCTGCCAGTAGCATCAACACATTATTTGTCAGCTAAATGCACACATGTGTCCCTTAACAGTTTACAGTTTAATCACGGTTAAATTAAATATGTAACAGCTACTGACTCATATAAGTTTGCTTAAGTAATATGCTGTTAGACATGAAGTGCTCTAAAACTTGTTCCATTCGTTTTATTTAACGTTAATCTATTAAAGTCTAGTAGAAACTACATATAGTATGTACTACCTGCTCTAACATCAGTAAATCTGCATTCTGTTCACTGAATATATTTATGATTTTCAGGGTAAACCCTGGTTATTTACTTAAACATAATTAAAGAAACTGGAATTTGTGAAAGACAAAAGCCGTGTTTTATTTAAACTCGAAACTGTAATTTAAATGTGATTAAGACAAACGCCTGTTTTAAAAGGTTAAACATTGCTTCAAAAAGTTAATTTATTCTGTGTAGTAGAATTTTGAAAATGTTGAATTTTTGTTTCATCGTATTTTTTTCAGCAAACATCAGCTGCATTGTCAGACTTGCAAGACTTCAATATAACGATTGGAAATTCCATAAAATTTTCTGGTAAAATTTTTGCAATTTGTTTGACGAAGTGCTACTGGCTGAAAACGTCAGTATTTTGTTTTTTATAGTTCTGTAATGTATACACTTTTTACTGGTTTGGAGTTATAAAGTTACACATTCTGACCACCTTAAGTTTGTACTAAAGGATTTAATTTTAGAATTCTGTAAATGTTAAGTGTGCCTGCTAATTACGTTTTTCTTTCGATATAAAGTTAAATTTAATATATTTCTGTGGAATATGAAGTGAACGTAGCAAAATCAGTTGAGGTCACGAAATTTAATGTTACTGATTCTACGAATGCAGTGCATGTTCCTAAAACACTTGCTCTCTTTAGTGTTTATTTCTTAGCTTAAGAGGGAAACAAAAATTTACAAAGTAATGATTTTTCTGAATAAAAATTTCCTTGGATATTATCCATCGTCTAGTAAATATAAAACGTAAAACGACATTTCGGAAATGGGACTCTATCTCCGTCTTCAGGTTCCTACACAGTTGGGCCCTAGCTCTATCTAGTGGGCCCAACTGTTCTGGTTTGTTATCAACTGACCTCAGTTGCTTTTGTAATAGGACTGGTGTATGTTATTTGGATCACTTATGCGTATATTATTTTCACAATATGGTAACAAGGCATTTTCAAATACATGAGTGGTAACACAGTTACAGTTTTATTCTTGGACATGTTCACTTGCTTACATTAATATATATTTCTTTATCTAGGGACATTTAGCATGCTACTTACATAAGCTGTTACTTAATCGTATTTCTAATTTTCAGTTTTAATGTTTGTGGATATTAATATGTATTCTCTGTGATGTATATTATTAACTTTTTAGAAGGATAAAATATGTCATCCATTTTAATTATCTGAGAAAAAATGGTTGCCACCTGCAGATACAAGTGAACACATTTAGAGGGATGTTACAAGGCTGAAATGCTCCTCTCCCGTGTTCGCAGACCTCCACCGCTTGCTAATCAGAGTAGGTCGAAAAGTGTGGGCGAGCAGAAGTGGCAGAACCTGCGAGCCGTTATGGCTTTATACACGAGACTCCGGAAGATCAAGAGGTAGTAACTTGTGTAGCTTTGTACTGTCGTCCTCTGCCGCTCTTGGTTGCTTTGTCGTCGTCTCGGGCTTGGTGCTACTGTTGGTTTCTGGTTTCATGGTGGTTCAGTGATGGTTCGCTCATTTCCTCTCTCGATATTCAAGACATAATGTGATTCAGTAAGTAACCTAATACAAAACCGAAAGGCAGTATATGGGGTGTAAGGATGTTGGGAAATTCAAAATTAGTTTGTCTGCTCTCTTTAGAAGAAAACTCACTTCTAATCTTACATTCTACAAATCTACACCATTTTACATATTCACAATTATAGAGCAATTCAAACGTCATTAATATTACACAATGCATTTCAAGTAATTACTGTGATATGCAATAACTTTAATTGAATCGCCAATTATAATGTTACGTTGTTTTCACTGCAGGGATGTTGGTCGCGTTTTCCGTAATAGATGTAGGTTGCAATTACAGACTTTTTTTTTACAAATATACGTATACATTACCACTATTAAGATATTGCCTAACACAGTACAAAAATAATCAAAAAAGGAACAAAACATTTCATTCGAAATGTGTTAGGTATAATATAAATATTAGCACAAATAAAGAATCTGGAATAATTTTTAGTTTATAGGGTTAAAATTCGGACATCGTTAAAAGGTAAAAATAAATCAGTATTAAATTACTTACTGAATGATATGTTAAAGATATTCACAAACTTTATCCAAAGCTGTGCGACACGTTTACGTCCAGATTAATGTGCCCTTTCTGTTACATTTATGTGGACAATTCTATGTTTACCACATACAAGTATGAAAACATAACAAGAAATAGATTAGGGACACGATCGAACGCCCAATTTTCTTTAGCTGGAATTTAGTGAACGCTCATACTCAGATCACCGTTGTCTCTTCCTATCTCTGCGATGATACAAGTCTCACAAAAGGCCACTTGTATGATGTGGAATTGATAGTGAACGGTCATACTCAGAACACAGTTGTCTCTTCCTATCTCTGCGATGATAGGTTTATGTTCGTTTTGCCAATGATGAAAAATGTGCAATGGAAATGTTAGTTATTTTCTGCATCAAGCCTCTCCTTGCCAGAATATATTAACTTATATACAATCGAAGATATTGGATCGTAATAAAAAGCGGAAACCCAAATATTCCTGCCTCATAAGCAGAATGTATTAGATTGATTTTTTTTATTTTGTTCGTGCTGACTTAACACCCGGAAGGCCAGTTACAAAGTAAGACCTAGTCAGAAGAAAAAGACATGTAGAGAAGGAACACGCAAAACAAAATCTTTAAATCAGGGCAATTTATGTAATATGGATGATGATGTAATTTCGACTCAAGTCAATTTTGTCAATAGAAGTTGTGAAAGAAAAAGTATATACACACAAGTTTATATAAAATATAATATAAAAAATATAATGTGTAATAGTATACAGTGTAATGGAAGGATAGTAAAAATTACATAAATTGTAGCTACTCTCCTGCTTTTGTTGTTAGGGCAAAAATTAAAAAAGGCGATTGGTGTGTCTATTACGCATTTTGGAAATGAATAATGGGGACAAAATTTTGGCAATGAAACCTCAACGGAAAAGGCAGCTTGGATGATATAAACGTAGAGTACAGGATAATATTAAAATTGATGATAAACGTAATTGAGTAGAATAATTTGGCTCAGTATAAGGCCTGTGATGGACTTCTATGGAAGCGGTGATAGACTTATAGTTCCACAAAAGTGTAATTCCTGCATCAGTTGAGCATCCACAACTCCTCAAATCTAATTTGTAGCCTGTCAAAACATTGATGTTGATTAAACTGACGTTAAGAGAGGCCCGTTCTTAATAACGCTGATTTCTGAGAAAAGTCCTCAGAGCCCCGAAACTACGAGATTTGCCCCTTAACATTCAGGTACATAGCCACAACGTGGAATGTTTATTTCAGCTGTCCTCTGTTCAAGCTTAGAAATGGCTGCATTTCGGAGATACATCCTGACGTTTCAGATTTACACGCAAATAACGAATGTTACTGGTACACAAAAATATAAAGTTTATTCAGCAATAGTCCAACAAGCTATAAGGGATTTCTGGGGTCTACAGATAGCATTTTTACGTCTTTTTAACTACTCTGAGTGTGTGTCACTGATACAGCTTACCGAATCCTTAGTTCAGGGTCCATAAAATCTTCGCTGTTTAGAGGTTACTAATAATGGGAGGTCCCAGACTAAGAATTTAAGTCTGAGTGATTCCACTTTGTAAACATAAAATTAGTTTAAGTTCTTTTTACTCGCATAACATTTAATATGGCACGATTTTTGTATCACAATTTAATTTCATGTTATATCCGTAAACCCAGGATACAAATAAATTAAATGTCCCTGATGCTGCAGAGAAGTGTCCCATGGTCCGTTTTTCATGTTACCCTCGTCTTCCGCGCAAGGCCTTCGTGTTATTGTGGGGTTTGTTCGGCGATGTCAGGGCAAATTGTTGCAACTCGTAATACTTCGGAGCCGTTAACGTCAATCGACAAGGCCCTCCTTTTCCTACTGAGCACGCCATTTTCGGCACCTTCGAGAAACATTATCTCGGGGACCTCTATCGATTTATATTGAAGTCTCCCGGACGTGACTTGGTTGTGAAGAATAAATATGAACCGTGGGCTGTGTCTCGGGCCATTTCATCTTAATGTAAGCACACTTGACGGTCATCTCGTGGAATGAGTGCCTGTAGATACCCCGTTTTTGGAAAGAAGTATTTCTGGTTGCACTGACAGATTCATAATATATTAATTATAATTTCAATACACCCCTTTCTGAAAAAAGAGCTTTAGTTACCTTCTTTCTCTTTATTTGTTTTAATTCTTTATTTTGTTTTGTATTTCTATCTGTCGCATTGCCTATGTACGTACATACTTATCTATCTAAATATAATTTATCTCTATCGTTCTATCTCTCTGTACTTCTTAACCGCCTCCTTATTATTACGCGTTCTTCATTTCTCCACTCTTCCTTCCTTTACGTTGTTTTCTGGCGTTCTTTGTACATATCTTCTTCCAGTTTACCGCTCGTTTCATATCTGCGTATTTATGCTTTTGTTCAACGAGGAATTTAATAAATGATAACTGCCAAATTTGTAAGAACTTCAAGCGGTCCTTTCAGCCATCAAACTCCCTGTAGTACGTGGTTCCTGGGTCAGTTGTTATTTTGCTACGTTAAGGAAATGAAGTTTTCCATTCGAGAAGTCAAAGTCAAAGTTTCGTCATTAACATGACGGTTTTCCGGAGACGTTTTTAAGTTATTTTATACTTTATTCATGAGTTGTGCAGAAGTGAAATAGAACATTGCCGTACTGTTTTAACACAAACCTCCTACGTCAAATAATGTACTTTATTGCTTCTGCGTGTGTAACTAGGCTCCTGTGCGCTAAAAAATTGGCGGTATTCCCTAAGACTCATCCAGTATTTCTGTTTTAATATGCAAATCGGCGCTAGTTGAATTCCTTACAATTTTGACCTAAACGTAAATAATACTTGAAAACGTGTCGATAGATTTTCCTGGATATGCTTTCAACCTACGTGTATGCTGTTGTTTTATACTTACAGGTTTGCCTGAACAGACTTTAAAATAATTATTCATAAATATCTGATTCTACATTAGTAAGAAATACAGTATTTATGTTTAACCATTCTTAAACTTATCCTGTGTTCCTTGTGTTCATTATACAATACATATTATGAAACAGTGAGCACGGATTAAAATATTTTCTTATTTAAAATTTGCATTTTTCAGTCAGAAGTTCCTGTATTTTTCTTTGAGGAATCAATTTAACTTATATCGGAAATATTAGTGTGTTTCCTTCATAACCTGAAGATTTTATAAAAAATTATTCCTTCTACAATAAGATAATAGAAATATTGTTCTCCCACGCAATTTTTGAGTCATTTCCGCAAAAAAAACGACATTTCCAACACACTCAGATTTAATATTCCCGCTTTTGATACAGTGTTACAAGATATCTAGGCAAATGTCTCCCAATAAGTTAGACGTTAAAATGGCATATAATAGTGATACGCGTTGTAAGCTTGTATAATCGTGTTTCTGTTGACGGAAGTCAGTCAGTCGGAAAAATTCACAAAGTTTTGAACTACGTGTACGGAGACTATATTCTGAACAGAAACGCGGTTTTTCGATAGGAAAACCAACTTTGTTGATAAGGCAAGTTGTTAAGTGGCATTGAGAGGCGAGACATCCGCTTTACCGACAAGAAATTCTTTGTGCTTTCTCGATGCCTTGAAAGCCGCTGGGATGGAAGGTAATTATGTAAGAAAGTTTCACTCTTATTAGATTTATTTTCGGCGAGTGAAACTTGTGTAATACTTTGTATACGACTTTCGTATGAGCTGATCAGAGTTAAACGTGGTGTAAGTCAACGGAGGTACAGAAAGACTCTTTTATGTGTATATTTTCAATTTATTCACACTAGTCAATAATAATACGTTATTATTGTAGTTAATAACATATCCTGTAAGTACACCAAATAACCTTACTCGTCTCATTTGGTATTTACGAGAAGCCTAATGTTATATAGTTTTAAAAAATATTGCTTTCTCTGCAACTCTGAGTAATTCGGTCGCACACACGCATATATAACAGGAGAGTTTTAAGATATAGTCTGTTTTAAATTATATTTTATTAGAGTTTCTGAGTCGTAACCAATGAATACATTATGATCATGAACCTACTGGATGAGGTAGAGTTATAAGTCTTGATATTCTTATAGTTACGTTTTACAACATTTAAATAAATAATTTTTAACACAGTTCTCAGTGACGTTCTAAATAATTCTTAAAAATAACTCGCAGCTTATTAAGATTTTGACCAGATTAAGTTGTCCAGTCTTTGTCGTTGTTGACTAACTTATTCTCAGCCTTATGGTTCAGTATATATTTGAATTGTTTTTCGTATGTTATCGAAACCCAACACACTTATGCAAACT